AAAAATAAAGTTAATTTAAAGATTTTATAAATATTATAATAGAATGTAAATAATACTAAAATATTACTGGGGGAGACATTTGACAGTTTGGACTGAAATGCTAGCATGTGGCACTTTACTTTTAAAATATATAAAACAGTAGTATGCTGTTTCACTATGTATCACTATGTGTTGTACGTTTAATCCATTGAGGTCATCTCATAAATAAATACATAAATGCTTATGCTGCAGTTTTTGACGTACTGCACATTTGATTAAATATAGGAGGTCGTTCAGGTTGTTAAATATAGAAATATACGAGTAGTTTGCTATTCCAAACATAGTCACTGATGTGTCCACAGATCTCAGTATACACACTGTGTCTGATATCTCTCTGCCAGCTGTGTTGGGTTTTCTCTGTGCACACATCTGCCTTAGTCTGCCTTAACCCTGACAGACCTTTATCACCTCAGCGCACACGCACAGCCCTGTCTAGCAGACGGATGCAGCAGACAAATATCTCATTAGAATTTAAACAGGCCATAATGCTTATAATCACCAGTTCTCCTGCTTCTGTATCTCTCTGTAGGCTAAAGAGAAGTATGAGAACGAGGAGAGGAGGAAGGCCGAGAGGAAGGCCAGGGGTGAGGACACATGGATGCTTCCAGACGTTGACCTGCGACTGCAGCAGATAGGCCAGGTCAGAGGTCAAGCTGCAGCATGAGCCTCATTAAAGACCACAAGAAACTCAAATAACTGTGAATGTTTTTATTGAAGATGAGTCATAATATAACTTCAGAAAGCACTTTTGTAGTGGGTTTTTGTTGTATGAGGAGAGAGTGTGTTTGTGTTTATCACGTGTGTCTTTCTCTTTCTCTCAGGCTGGTCTTCACAGGTTAGAGTTGAACCCTTACTGGAAGGATGGAGGAAGTGGTCTGCCTCCGGAGGACACCTCCGGTAATAAAGGTGAATGCCGAAATCAAGTGTGATGATCCGACACGGCTCGGTTATTTTTGTCTCAGCCGCTGTTGGCGGTACAGTTTGTGTAAAATCCCACACACTGTAAAAAAAATTTTGTTTTTGTAAAACATGTTCAAACAAAGATTATTGGAATATGCTTTACAAGAAAATACTCTTTCAGACGTTCTACTTCGTAATTTCATGTTTAATTGTTACTCACTATTTCTGTGTAAGTATTTGTGAAATTACTAGCAATTTCCGAGTGAAAATTGTTTCAAAGTAAATCCTACATCAGTTTTTTTTTTTCACAGTCCAGCAATGTCCTTTGACATTTTTTGATTATTTTGTATTATTATTATTAGACACTCTTGAATTCAGTTGATTAGATATCCTTTTTTGACTTTTATGTTTTTGCATTTTTGCACAGCTTGCATCTTTTGCAGAGCGTCTAATGCAATGTGTGTTGTGAATGCTTGCACCAAACAACAATTCATCTTCCACTGGTTTATATTTCATGTGCAGAATGCTGAGAAAGTATTCAGGTATCTGTAATGTCAGATCAAATTAACGTGGGCCATAAAAACCCATTTTCTCAGTCTCTTTTCTCTCAGAGTTGTGTCCAATTTCATGTTATTCACCCCTAAATGTCACAAAAAAGACAAATTGGCGTTTACGTGTTTGTCTGACAGTTTAAATCCTTTTTCATTTTCATGATTCTTTCAATGCATTTTCTTTTTGTCATTTAAATATACTGTTTCACTTGTCATGTTATTGGAATGAGGAGTTAAAATGGCGTTAGGCGTTGACTTTAAGCTGAGGGTGCAGTCGGAGCCGCTCGCTCTTCTCTGAGCTCTGGATGTGCGGAGTGGCAAGTGTTTCTTTCACAGATGTTTTACACTGATTTCTCTCCGTCTCAGCTGGAGTGGTGAATGATGGAGGGGTGAGCTGGCTCAGGAAGTCATATCAGAGGATGAAAGAGCAGGCCGACAGAGAACAGCGCAGTCTGGAGAGCGTGGTGGCGGAGAGATACGGGGTGAACACACACACACATACTCACACTCACACACTCACTCTCTCACACACACTCACACACACGCGCACTCACACGCACACACACACACTCATGCACACACACTCTCACACTCACACACACACTCACACACACACACACACACACCTCTCTGTACTTCAACACACCGAAAAGTTGCTTTCCTTCTGTGATAGATGCATAGCAGTGTTTCCTAATTTGATTCAGATGAAAAGAAGTAGCTTATAATAGTCATTTGTTCATGAAACTGAGCAAATCATTGCTGTGTGCAACCAATAAGGACATGTGAGAACAAAATAATATATTTGATTAATGCCTTATTAAATATATTTTAATATAATGTTTTATATATATATATATATATATATATACACACACTCACACATATTATATTACATATAATAATGTAATCATCATTTATTGTAAACTATATATATACATACAGTATATCTGTGTGTGTATATGAAAATCGTCTTAAAAATATCATGATTTATGATAATTTAATAAAATGTATACTAATATATATATATATATATATATATATGATATATTATATAATATGTTAGTATTATTATGAATATATGAATTCATATATTTTACATTTGTAAAATAATCATATTTATACATATTAAAAAAATATATTAATATTGAATATATTGAAATAATATTGAAAAAAATATATTATAATATATTTCAATATATAATTTGTTAGTATATAATATATTGTAAAAATACATTCATATATTTTAAGTTTATTGCAATATATAATGGTGGTTTTTATTTTTAGGACTCATGGGTATTGTAGCTTGTAAATACTTTTTTTCATTAAATGAAAATTATTTTTTGACTGATTACTTTAACAGAATCATATACCATCTGTTAATACTTCTGGAACCTGACTGCCTAAAACTTATTTGTGTATTTTGAATCAAACAGTGCCTTCCAATGTATCATTTCACACTGTAGTGAGTTTATTCTGCTTTGAGTGGATCTTAATGATGTGTTTTGATGGTTCTCTCTTCCTCCTGTAGTCCATGGAAGAGTTCCAGAAGAGACTGCGAGAGGCGGAAGAGGCTGCGTATGGAGAGAGGAGTGAGAGGAGAGGAGACCGAGAGAGATGGAGGAGAGACGACAGAGAAGAAGGGAGGGAGAGATGGAGAAGAGGAGACCGGGAGGAGAGGCGGAGAGACAGATCTCCACACGCTGAGAGAGAGAGAGAGCGAGACTTTGAGAGAGGCTCTCGAGGCCGCGATGAACGCCATCCGAGATCCCGGCTGGATCCAGATGAGGATCGGCAGTCCCAGAGACGCAGCACTTCCTCTCTGTCTAGCCTCAAGTTCTTCAAACCCTCAGAAGCTGATGAGGATATGAGTGGACGGACGGGGTTCAGGAGGGCGGGTCCGAAAGCCTCTACGTCCAATCAGAGTGCAGGATTCAAGAAACCTGTTGATGATGATGATGGTGGTGTTGTAGCTGCCTGGAGGAAGAGCAGTGCTGTGCAGGATCCAAAGGAGATGCCTACTCCACAGAAACACACAGAGAAGACCGCCGCCCTGCTGGAAGAGAGCAAAACAACAAGAGTGAGCAGGTCAGAAAGAAGGGGTCATGTGATTTAGAAGAGATTTCAATGTCATTCTGATCTTCACACCCGTGTTAGAAGACAGTTTTTCAACGTTTCACTTGTCTAAAATAAGACAAAATTACTAAAAATAGGATATTTCTTGCTTTAATTCAACCCCTTTGAAAAACAGCTGTTTTTTTCTTCTTTGAAGAACCAGGATTCCCATTGTGTTGGAAAAACCTGGATAAATGAGGAAACCTCATTTTAAGTGTGATTTCTAGACCTGGGAAAGTCATGTAAATGAATAATTTTTTTATAATGAATATTTATTTTTCTAGTTATGCCAAACTATAAAGTTTGTTGATTACTAATTAATTAATATTAATTATATTATATTATTATATTATTTGAATACAATATATTTTTTTTAATATTATTTACATTAGGACATTTAGGATAGAGCCCAACTGATATGGGTTTTTTGGGGCCGATACCGATATTAGGGAGTAAAAAAAAAAGGCAGATACCGATATATCGGCCGTTATTCTTTGTGTATATTATAGTACAGTACCAGTCAAAAGTTTGGACACTTTCCCATTCGTGTGTCCAAACATTTGACTGGTACCATGTAGAATACCGTACATACATAAACAGAATATATATATATATATATATATATATATATATATATATATATATACATAAAAAAAATTTATATATAATATTACAAAATAATATATTTAAATGTAAAATATTATATTTTAACAGGATGTATATTAATATGTAAAATATTGTAATATTATATTTGATATTTATTGCAATGTTTTGATATATATATAATGTTTTTTTGGGGGGGGGGGGGGGTTTCATTTTGAAAATTGGAGATTAAAAAATCCTGACAGATGAAGAGATGAATAAACTGGGAGCCAAACTCGTCAAGGCAGAACTCATGGGAAACACGGTGAGCGCATCAGAACTCTTCTGGAAACCATGTGACCTAGACATTGATGCCCAAAAATGCAGTCTAATTAGGAAGCTCACTAGGTATCGAGACAGTCTTTGTGTGCTAGTAGTAGACACAGATACTGATGGTATGTTCTGATTGTGTGTGAATAATCACAGGCGCTGGTGGAAAAGCTAAAAGCTCAGATGGAAGCCGCCCGTCGAGCCAAAGAGAACCGAGCTCGAAGAAAAGACCAGAACAAACAGGTTTCTGCACCAACAGACTCAGAAAAGGAAGTGATTCTGTTCAGGACCGACCCATGGGGACGAGCCTGGCCAGTCAAAGCCCCGTCCCAAACACAGGAGCCTAGAGGAGGAAGGAGGAAGCAGAAAGCGGTGAGACGCACGCTCACATATACAGCTTTGCTGGGTAGCTATAGCTAACTAAAGCTAAAACCATAAAACACATTATTGTTAGTTAAAATAAAATAAAACTATTTAAAATAAAATAACAAATAAAAAAAATAAAATTAAAAAACTGAAATGTATTTAATTTAAAATTAAAAATGAAAGCTGAAATAAATATATTTATTTAAAAAAACAATAACTAATAAAAATGGCAAAAACACACTGCAAAATTACTAAAACTAACTAAAAATGATGTATGTAAAAATTGTTATTATAATGTTATAAAATTATACATTAAACATATTTTTAAAACATTTAAAATAATAATAATATATTGATATAACTGCAGCTTTGTTTCTATTGATTGTTTCTCATGACAAATTTGATGTGTGAATTAGCTTTTATTTTTATATTTTACATTTTCATTTTAATTTAGTTTATTTTTTAGTCATTTTATGTGCTGAGTTTTATAAAATCTTAATATTTAGGTGTAATTTTTAATTCAGTTTTAATTTAATTAAATTTTTTATTTTTATGTATTTGTTTATTTTATGCATTTATTTTAGTCATTTCAGTGGATCAACGTTCAGTTCTATTAGTCACCAAGGCAAAATTTCAGAATTTCATTTATTTTAGTACTTTTAATTAACTAAAACTTTTTCTCCTGACAATTTTGATGTGATTTTACTAAATACGGTACTTTGCTTGGAGTTGATCTACTTAAAATTAATATTAACTTGTAGCCTGGCAAACTGCAGCTTCAAACGATGTCCCGTTTTCTCTTCTTCTGGGATTTTTAGATCGAGACGCACCAGGACGGGGAGCGTGTGCGCTATTTTGAGGATGATGATGGTATGAATCTGCAAGAGATGGTCAGACGGGAGAAGATGAGCTCTGCTGAGGATCAGAACGCTCTTTACTCACGCATGGCTGCCAAGGTGAGCGTTAGTCTCCTTTACAGACTCTTTACACACCAAACATTGAGAGATGACAGTGTGGAGTTTAGCCAGTCGTAACCGAAAACAGCAGTAAAGAGTCTGTGAATTTCTATTTAGATTTGTATTGAAAAAGCAACTGGATTCAGGGTTATTATGGTTTACTAGGGCCGGGTAAAAAAAATACAGATATCTCGATTTTAATCGATTCTCATTTTTACGGAACGATATCGATTCTTATATCCCAAGAATTGATCAGTCTAGCCTGTCTTCAGCTAATGGACGGAGCGTTGAAGGGCACTTCCCATCCTATTAATCACAATAAGCATTGTGCTTTGGTACTTTTAATATAAAAACAATCTCACATGTCCAATTCTATCCGGTGTATTGCAGTATTCAAACAATAAATGCCGTTTTGGCGCTGTTTAATGTGGAGTGACAGATCGCTGTAGCGCCTCAGTGAGCTGATCATCTCCTCCACATTAATACCAGCTTCAGCACAAAATAAACATGACTAAACATCCGAAGGTAAGTTAAAAGAAAGAGTACAACTTTACAATCCGTATCCTGTCTCGTGTAATCGCTCAATCAGGGTTTCAGCCGTGCAAAGACGTCAGTATAACAGCTTGTAAACAATGTCACGTAACGTCACATTTACCTCAGAAAAACATATTCGGTGACCATAAACTCATTAGTCAGCTAGAAAAATAAACTGTAGAGAGGGGCATTTTGTTAAATATATGCACCATATAACATAGTCATTATAATTTTTACTGTTCTTCAATGTTTCATTTATGTTTGAATAAATCCATCAAGTGTTTATGACAGACACCATTTAAATGTTTACAGCCGATTTAAAAAAAACTAATTGAAGTAGAAATATTATGTAATTGTAACGTTATTATTTTAAAAACGTCATTAAGTGTAATTTTAGCAGTTGTATTGCACACAAATCAGTCAATTTTAACCTTCAATATTATTGTAATGTAGTACCAACTGACTCATGTATATTTTACAGCATTAGTTGAGATTTTTTTTCCTTGAGAAAATTTGGCATGTAGCCTACTGATATATATCCAAAATAATCGGTAATCGAATCGAAAGCTTGTGAATGAGAATCGAATCGAGAAATTTGTGTCAAAACCCAGCCCTATGGTTTACTAAAACCATAAAACAACATTGCGTTGCTCGTTATTGTAGGTAACTAAAACTAAAATTAAAAACGTAAAAAAAAAAAACATTTTTGTTACTTGACAAAATAAACATGAACATGTTTTGTTTCAGCTAGTTGCCAATGTAACATTTCTCATTTAAATTTAGTTTAACTTGATGTACTGAAATAACTAGAGAATCGAATCGAGAAATTTGTGTCAAAACCCAGCCCTATGGTTTACTAAAACTAAAACCATAAAACAACATTGCGTTGCTCGTTATTGTAGGTAACTAAAACTAAAATTAAAAACGTAAAAAAAAAAAACATTTTTGTTACTTGACATAAAATAAACATGAACATGTTTTGTTTCAGCTAGTTGCCAATGTAACATTTCTCATTTAAATTTAGTTTAACTTGATGTACTGAAATAACTCAAACCGAAATATTAATAAATTAAATTTAAATGAATGAAGACTATAGACTTATTTAAAACGAACAAAAACGTATTTCGTGTATTAAAATAACTAAAACTACAGCTGAAAAAAATCGAAACTATATAGAGATATGAAAAACAAATCACTAAAACGTTAACATCGACTGGATGTCATTTATTTTTAATGCTGATGCGATGCAATAAACGACCTTTGTTAGCTTTATGCAAATGAGCAGCAATGGAATTACTATTATTAGCCTGAAGATATTAGAGCACTTTTGATTTTTAAGTCCAGTGTTAATAAAATGCATGATGTATAGAAATATGCGGCAGGAATGAGTTTCTGAACAAACAGCCTGTGGTTGTATATTTGTCTGTGGTCGTAAGACAGACTGGCATCAGCAGATGGTGGCGGTGAGGATCAATCTCTCAGTCTGTCCTACTCTCTGGCTCTGATGTGATTTGGTGTTTCTCTGATTTTTAAACCCGGGCAGGGCTACTAAAGTCCGGTATGATAAACTAAGACGTCACGGTCGCCTTGGAGACGAGAAATCTAAAAGTGACAAACATTTGCACATTTTAGCGCCACATCTCTCCGTCTCTCTCTCTCTCTCTCTGCCAGGTTACCATGGCATAGCAGCTAAAAGTGTTATTAATCTATTTATTTCAGCAGTAGCAGCAGCCAAAATTGTGTGTGTGTTTGTGTGATAATGTGCAGAGTGTGTGTTTGTGTAATTGCAGTAGGGCTGCGTCATATTGCATTCATTTCAGCTGGAGCAGCGACTCCATTCAAACTTATGAAGAGAATTTTTAGAACATTGACCTCACATTTATAGAATGTTCGCTATTCAGAATCTGACTGACAGCGATGCTGTCATTGAAACATTTGCATACTGAATTAACAACTGGTTTTCTTCCTTAAAATCATTGCATACTGAAATGTGCTTGGTATCTTTTTTTGGCATCCATTTCTTCATCGTCATCTTTGTTTTATTACGTTTTATGCTTAAAAAAAAAAAATCAAGATTTGGTTTGTACATCTCTCATTGACTCACGTTAATAGAATGTACGCAATCTGAAATATAACAAACAGTAATCATGTCATTGTAATATTTGCATGGTTAATATGCAGCATTTATTTGCATAATGATATGTGCATGAAATTTTTTATGGCATTTTGTTGTTGTCTTTTCTGTTTTATGTAATTTTACTTTATTTATAGTAACACGTTACAATAAGGTTCCATTAGTTACTGTTTTTTAATGCATTAACTAACATTTACTAACAATGAGCTAATACATTTGTTACAGTGTTTATTCATCTTTTATAATGTGTTAATAAAAATACAAATGTTTATTGTTAGTTCAGCTCCATTAAATAATATTAATAATTACAACTTTTAATTTGAATAATGTACTAATAAAAGTTAAAAGTAACACTAACTAAATTTAATAAATGCTTTGTTAGTTCATATTAACTAATGTTAACAAATGAGACAATAATTGTTAATGTTATTTATTTGATTAATTATTAATGAATTTATTAGTTTGAATATTTTATTTATTTAATTAATTTTAATTTTAATAATTAACAGTTTTTAAATTCTTTTAAAAATGTGATTAAAATGTGAAAGTCTCCAATTGATTTTTCAATTATTTAATTTATTTATTTTATCATTTAATTTAAAATGTGAAATTGGTTTTATCACTTACATTTATTTACATAATGAAATAAAATAAAAAATTGCAAATTTTTTGTTCTTTTGTTTTTATTTATTTAGCTTGTTTATTTATTTGATTCATTTAAATTTTGATTATTAATTAAAAAATATGATTCAAATGTGAAAATCTCCCTTGGATTCAAATAAATAGAATGTAAACCCAGCCATGATGATACATATATTTGCATACTAAATTTTCATTCATATTTTTTCATAAACTTTTCTTAAACCCTTAACAGCCACTTTTACAGTGCAAACACAGTGTTGTGTTATGTGTTGATTCTTAAGCAGTCGACCATAATCTAGTTGTTCATGTGTTTATCTCCAGTCTGCTGCATATGTAGTCTAGACAGACTTGCACACAAGCTATCCTTAAAATCTCGGCTCTGTCTAGGTTTTTTTGATTTGCATTTCAGCTGGAGTCAGAAAGCATCAAAGCAGAGAATAAACGTAGAATAGAAAGCACCGTCTGAATTCAGCCAGACTCTCCAACACTCTCGCTCTCACCTCGGCTCCTCTCCATCTGTCAATCAAACATGCCCGTGTGAACAGACACGCCTCCCACACAGATCACCCGTTGCTACGGATACATTGCCTCTTTGTCTGCTTGTTGTAGCACACTGTTAAACCTCTCACTCTCTCGTGTATTAGAGAGACACACACACACACGCTCTGTTAGCGTAATCTCTGCTCCCCGGTCGCATCTGCTGCTGTTTTGTGGATTCTGCTCCAGATAATGACCCGCAGGTTTGCCAGCAATTAGCAGTGAATCCACACCTGACCCACAGTCAGATCACATGATCACCTGCCACCCAATCAGATCATCTGACCTCAGGTTTTTTTGATTTGCATTTCAGCTGGAGTCAGAAAGCATCAAAGCAGAGAATAAACGTAGAATAGAAAGCACCGTCTGAATTCAGCCAGACTCTCCAACACTCTCGCTCTCACCTCGGCTCCTCTCCATCTGTCAATCAAACATGCCCGTGTGAACAGACACGCCTCCCACACAGATCACCCGTTGCTACGGATACATTGCCTCTTTGTCTGCTTGTTGTAGCACACTGTTAAACCTCTCACTCTCTCGTGTATTAGAGAGACACACACACACACACGCTCTGTTAGCGTAATCTCTGCTCCCCGGTCGCATCTGCTGCTGTTTTGTGGATTCTGCTCCAGATAATGACCCGCAGGTTTGCCAGCAATTAGCAGTGAATCCACACCTGACCCACAGTCAGATCACATGATCACCTGCCGCCCAATCAGATCATCTGACCTCTGTTCCACTCACAAAAGTGCATGGCTTCGTCCTAATCTGTGTGTTATCACTCTAGTGTAGTATACAACATAATAATTAGGGTTTCCTCAAATCATAGTATGTAAAGCTTCCAAAGTGTTTTGGACTTTTACTAGTACTTGGTCTTTTTTACACATTTACTAGTACATACTTTTCTTATTAGTGAAGTATGAGACTAGTATGGAATTGTCAGCTGAAGCCCTTAATCCTTAAAATATTTACTTCCTCCTGAGATTTAATATTAATATTTTAGTTATTTAATGACATATTTGCATGTTCACGGTTCTTTCATGTTGGTTAATGGTCACATGGCATGCAGGTAAATACATTGAATATTTAATCTTTTATTAGAAGGTGTTTTGTTAAATTTGAGTGGTTTGACTTTGTAGCTTGGACTTAGTTGCTTTACTTTATTATTATTAATAATAAATAAATATAAATAAAGAATATTATTATTATTGTCTTGTATAATTGTATTAGTATTTATATTATTATATTGTATTATTTATTATTATTTAACGTTTATTATTATACTGTATGACTATTGTATTATTATTATAGAAGCTACATGCGCTAATTATAAAAATGAAGACAGAAATATATTACTGCTGTAAATTTCAAAATGCAGTATAAAAATTAGTGTTTGATGATAATTATAATAATTTAATTTAAACTACAGATTACAAAAATAATATTTGTCTTAAATTTTCACTTTCAAAAATTCAAACCCTTGAGCTGTAAACATTTCAGATCCTCTAGCTTTTATTGTGTCCAGATATTGGTGAAATGCCGTAAACGTCTGTCCACAAAAATGTTGTAAATTATGCGAATATGTAAATAAAGTAAACCTACCGCTTGTTGCGTCCCAGTGCTCCTTAAACTCACATGCAGAAGCAGAGATGGGGTTTACTGCATTTACTATGAGCCGATATGCTAAATAACATTTATTTATTTTAGTTTTACACTCAATATGACTAATTATTAGCTTTTCATCAACTCACAATCCCCTGTTTTGGCCCATGGGTTGTAAGACTCATAAAACGATTCTCATATCTCAGTCCTGAACTGCTTTCAGCTCTTAAATCAAGATAAAACTCGCAGACATGCAGGATAAAGTAACCGATAAAAGTCTGCATGCAGACAAAACTCTGTAATATGTTTGTTTTTATTGTGGTATGAACGGATTTGTGTGTTTTGCAGATGATGGGGAGGACAGATGGCGATAACTACACACTGGATGACATGTTTGTGTCCAGCGCCGCCCAGAAAGAGAGATCGGGCCGAGACGAAGAGCGGCAGAGGAACAAAGCAGTGCAGGAAACACGGCGGTTAGCCGGACAGATGGAGAAATGCAGACACTGTTTCGACAGCCCTGAACTGCCCAAACATCTCATTGTCGCCGTCGGAAACAAGGCACGATATATTACTGTTACATATCTGCTTACGAGACTCTTGATGCTGAAAAACTTGGAATAAGTTTTCATTTTTAGAGAATCAACTTTGAGTTTACCACCCAAAACACCTTAGCAATCTCATAACAATGCTCTACCCCACTAATAACTTAAAACACATTAGCGACAGCATAGCAACAACCCAGACCACCTTAGCAACCACATAGCAACGCCCTGGCAACCACCCACAGCACCTTAGGAACCTTATAACAATGCACTAGTAGTTGCTTAGAAGACTTTATCAACTGCCTAGCAACCATCTAGAACACCCACGGAACAGAACAGGCTGTGGGACAGGCTCGAGGTTTTAGCGTGCTGTCCTCATTAATCACATGACGTGTTTGTTTTCTCTCGTGCAGGTGTACTTGTGTCTGCCGAACAGCGTGTCTCTGACCGAAGGTCACTGTTTGATCGTCCCCATCCAGCATCACACAGCGGCCACGGGTCTGGACGAGGACATCTGGAGCGAAATACAGGTACAAACATTGCAAACACTTGCACTCATGTATGTATACTCCTCCATTTGTGCTACAGACATGAATAATGCATAAGCAACCACCCCAAACACCTTAGCAACTCCCTAGCAACCACTCAGAACACCTTAGCAACTCCCTAGCAACCACCTAGAACATCAATAAAGCACAAATAAAAGACAGTCAGGGTGTGCTTTCTGCCGCCTTGGTCTCCGACCCACCCCACATTTAAGTAATTAAATTAATATAAACATTTGATTAGTCGACTAATCGATTAAAAGAATGACCACTAATGCGCACTCTCTCTCTTTTTCTCTCTACCTCTCTCTACCACTCTCTCATTCACTTTCTCTCATAGATGTTCAGACGCGCTTTGGTCCGCATGTTCGAGTCTCAGGAGTTGGACTGTGTGTTTTTGGAGACTCATATGAATCCGAAGAGACAGTTGCACATGGTGTACGAGTGTGTGCCGCTGCCTAGAGAGCTTGGAGACATGGCACCCATTTACTTTAAGGTAACTTGGACCAAACTGCCTCAAACTAACATCACAACAGAGCACAAAAGTGACTGTACAGTTTTTTTTTTCAGCGGTCTTAATTCTGAAAGTGTTTTTCCTGTTCATTTTTCCCATAGGGATTTTTTTAAAAGTCTTTGTTGGAAAGCTATTTTGAGAACAGCATTTTGATAAACATATGCACTATATTACATATTCATTATATTTTTACTAAACATGTTGTCTTCATTTTTTAATGTAAGTTTGAATGAATCTGTTATGATAAGTTTTTATGACAGCCACCGTTTAAATGTTTATATAATAAATTGGTGTAAAAACTTGTAATTAAAAGGTATATATAAAACTTCAAGTGCAAGTTAAATGTTTTTACAACTCAGTTTTTATTTGAGTGTTGATTATTAAATACATATGATGAATTGATTTTTAAATAAACTTTATTTTCAGTTTCAGTTTTCACTCAAAACACCTTAGCAACCTTATAGTAATGCCCTAATAACTGTATATAAAACGTTATCAATGGCATAGCAACCACTGAGAACACCATAGCAACTCCCTGGCAACCACCCAGAACACCTTAGCAACTTCATAGCAATTCCCTAGTAACTGCTTAAGACCCCATAGTAACTGCATAGCAACAACACTTTAGAAGCCAAACAGCAATGCCCTGGCAACCAGCCACAACATCTTTGCAACCACACAGCAACGCCCTGGCAACCTCCCAGAACTCCTTAGCAACTTCATAGCAATGCCCTAGTAACTGCTTAAGACTCTGTAGCAACTGCATAGCAACAACACTATTGCAGCCAAACAGCAATGCCCTGGAACCAGCCACAGCACCCTGACATCCACCCAGACCTCCGTAGCAACTTCATAGCAATGCCCTAGTAATTGCTTAAGACACCTTAGCAACTGCATAGCAACAACACTATTGCAGCCAAACAGCAATGCCCTGGAACCAGCCACAGCACCCTGACATCCACCCAGACCTCCGTAGCAACTTCATAGCAATGCCCTAGTAACTGCTTAAGACTCTGTAGCAACTGCATAGCAACAACACTATTGCAGCCAAACAGCAATGCCCTGGAACCAGCCACAGCACCCTGACATCCACCCAGACCTCCGTAGCAACTTCATAGCAATGCCCTAGTAATTGCTTAAGACACCTTAGCAACTGCATAGCAACAACACTTTAGAAGCCAAACAGCAATGCCCTGGCAACCACCCAGAACACCTTAGCAACTTCATAGCAATGCCCTAGTAATTGCTTAAGACCCCTTAGCAACTGCATAGCAACAACGCTTTAGAAGCCAAACAGCAATGCCCTGGCAACCACCCAGAACACCTTAGCAACTTCATAGCAATGCCCTAGTAATTGCTTAAGACCCCTTAGCAACTGCATAGCAACAACGCTTTAGAAGCCAAACAGCAATGCCCTGGCAACCACCCAGAACACCTTAGCAACTTCATAGCAATGCCCTAGTAATTGCTTAAGACCCCTTAGCAACTGCATAGCAACAACGCTTTAGAAGCCAAACAGCAATGCCCTGGCAACCACCCAGAACACCTTAGCAACTTCATAGCAATGCCCTAGTAATTGCTTAAGACCCCTTAGCAACTGCATAGCAACAACGCTTTAGAAGCCAAACAGCAATGCCCTGGCAACCACCCAGAACACCTTAGCAACTTCATAGCAATGCCCTAGTAATTGCTTAAGACCCCTTAGCAACTGCATAGCAACAACGCTTTAGAAGCCAAACAGCAATGCCCTGGCAACCACCCAGAACACCTTAGCAACTTCATAGCAATGCCCTAGTAATTGCTTAAGACCCCTTAGCAACTGCATAGCAACAACGCTTTAGAAGCCAAACAGCAATGCCCTGGCAACCACCCAGAACACCTTAGCAACTTCATAGCAATGCCCTAGTAATTGCTTAAGACCCCTTAGCAACTGCATAGCAACAACGCTTTAGAAGCCAAACAGCAATGCCCTGGCAACCACCCAGAACACCTTAGCAACTTCATAGCAATGCCCTAGTAATTGCTTAAGACCCCTTAGCAACTGCATAGCAACAACGCTTTAGAAGCCAAACAGCAATGCCCTGGCAACCACCCAGAACACCTTAGCAACTTCATAGCAATGCCCTAGTAATTGCTTAAGACCCCTTAGCAACTGCATAGCAACAACGCTTTAGAAGCCAAACAGCAATGCCCTGGCAACCACCCAGAACACCTTAGCAACTTCATAGCAATGCCCTAGTAATTGCTTAAGACCCCTTAGCAACTGCATAGCAACAACGCTTTAGAAGCCAAACAGCAATGCCCTGGCAACCACCCAGAACACCTTAGCAACTTCATAGCAATGCCCTAGTAATTGCTTAAGACCCCTTAGCAACTGCATAGCAACAACGCTTTAGAAGCCAAACAGCAATGCCCTGGCAACCACCCAGAACACCTTAGCAACTTCATAGCAATGCCCTAGTAATTGCTTAAGACCCCTTAGCAACTGCATAGCAACAACGCTTTAGAAGCCAAACAGCAATGCCCTGGCAACCACCCAGAACACCTTAGCAACTTCATAGCAATGCCCTAGTAATTGCTTAAGACCCCTTAGCAACTGCATAGCAACAACGCTTTAGAAGCCAAACAGCAATGCCCTGGCAACCACCCAGAACACCTTAGCAACTTCATAGCAATGCCCTAGTAATTGCTTAAGACCCCTTAGCAACTGCATAGCAACAACGCTTTAGAAGCCAAACAGCAATGCCCTGGCAACCACCCAGAACACCTTAGCAACTTCATAGCAATGCCCTAGTAATTGCTTAAGACCCCTTAGCAACTGCATAGCAACAACGCTTTAGAAGCCAAACAGCAATGCCCTGGCAACCACCCAGAACACCTTAGCAACTTCATAGCAATGCCCTAGTAATTGCTTAAGACCCCTTAGCAACTGCATAGCAACAACGCTTTAGAAGCCAAACAGCAATGCCCTGGCAACCACCCAGAACACCTTAGCAACTTCATAGCAATGCCCTAGTAATTGCTTAAGACCCCTTAGCAACTGCATAGCAACAACGCTTTAGAAGCCAAACAGCAATGCCCTGGCAACCACCCAGAACACCTTAGCAACTTCATAGCAATGCCCTAGTAATTGCTTAAGACCCCTTAGCAACTGCATAGCAACAACGCTTTAGAAGCCAAACAGCAATGCCCTGGCAACCACCCAGAACACCTTAGCAACTTCATAGCAATGCCCTAGTAATTGCTTAAGACCCCTTAGCAACTGCATAGCAACAACGCTTTAGAAGCCAAACAGCAATGCCCTGGCAACCACCCAGAACACCTTAGCAACTTCATAGCAATGCCCTAGTAATTGCTTAAGACCCCTTAGCAACTGCATAGCAACAACGCTTTAGAAGCCAAACAGCAATGCCCTGGCAACCACCCAGAACACCTTAGCAACTTCATAGCAATGCCCTAGTAATTGCTTAAGACCCCTTAGCAACTGCATAGCAACAACGCTTTAGAAGCCAAACAGCAATGCCCTGGCAACCACCCAGAACACCTTAGCAACTTCATAGCAATGCCCTAGTAATTGCTTAAGACCCCTTAGCAACTGCATAGCAACAACACTTTAGAAGCCAAACAGCAATGCCCTGGCAACCAGCCACAAAACCTTAGCAACCACATAACAACGCCCTGGCAACCACCCAGAACACCTTAGCAACGTCATAGCAATGCCCTAGTAATTGCTGAAGACACCATAGCAACTGCATAGCAACAACACTTTAGCAGCCAAACAGCAATGCCCTGGCAACCAGCCACAATACCTTAGCAACAGCACAGCAGCACCCTGGCAACCACCCAGAACTCCTTAGCAACTTCATAGCAATGCCCTAGTAATTGCTGAAGACACCATAGCAACTGCATAGCAACAACACTTTAGCAGCCAAACAGCAATGCCCTGGCACCCAGCCACAATACCTTAGCAACAGCACAGCAGCACCCTGGCAACCACCCAGAACTCCTTAGCAACTTCATAGCAATGCCCTAGTAATTGCTTAAGACACCGTAGCACCTGCATAGCAACAACACTTTAGAAGCCAAACAGCAATGCCCTAGCAACCACCCACAACACCTTAGCAACACCCTGGCAACCACCCACAACACCATAGCAATAACCCAGAACACTTAAGCAGCCAAACAGAAATGTCCTGGTAACCACACCGATAACTTTAACCACTGCATAGCAACACTCTGGCAACCACCCACAATACCATAGCAACAAACCAGAACATCTTAGCAACTGCATAGCAACACCTCAGCAACCACCTAGCAATGGCCTAGAACACTGTAGCAATTGTTTAGCCGTTTTGGTTCTCAGTTAAATGAAAACTTTAATTTCAATGTTTTGGTAAAAAAATTATTTTGGTGCAGCATTAATTATAATTAAAAATAATTTGCTCAATGGGGAAAATTAATAGGATTTTTACTGCTATAAATCCGACTGATCAGCGTTTTTAACAAACAAACACACACTTGTGTGAATGTGAACACACTCATTAATCTTCTCTGTGTGTGTGTGTGTGTGTGTGTGTGTGTGTGTGTGTGCGCGCGCGCATGTTTAGAAAGCCATAATGGAGTCGGATGAGGAATGGGCCATGAATAAGAAAGTTGTGGATCTCTCATCCAAAGACATCAGACAAGCTGTGAGTTTTTCTTCCTGTTTTCTCCTGACATCTTTTATTCTTCCGCCTCTCTCTCAGTGTTTGACGTTGCTCGTGTTTTCGCAGGTTCCGCGCGGGTTGCCGTACTTCTCTGTGGATTTCGGATTGCAGGGCGGCTTTGCGCATGTCATTGAGAATGAGCGGAAGTTCCCACACTATTTCGGCAAAGTAAGTCTGACAATAGTGTTACTGTGCAGCCCCACAAACAAGCACAGCAAAACGAGATTTTTTTTTTTACATCACACTTTAAATTGCAATTTAATCATGCATAGTGACTGAGATTTGTTCTGTCTCCATCAGGAAATCCTGGGCGGGATGCTGGACCTGGAACCGAGACGATGGCGGAAACCGATACGCGAGAATTTCGACGACCAGCGTAAGAAGGTTCTGAAGTTCGCTCAGTGGTGGAAAGCATTTGACTGCACTAAGACCGACAGCTAGACACTCAGAGACGGTGTGCTTTCTGAACTCTATAAAGACTTTTTCATGCCTGAATTTTTATTTTAGAGCGCTTGTCATGTGTAGTAAAATGTCTAGAACATTGTTAAATCTTAAACGGGCATGTTTTATCTGGTCTGAAGATTTTTGTGGGACCCTTTTCATTTTTTCAAATGTAGGTAAATGTTTTTTTTTTTTTTTTATTATCAACCCAGGAAATTTTGGGTTTCCTCAATCTAATTTTTAATGACCCGTGTGTGTCTTCTGTTGTCATGTGTTAAGTTCAGTCCAGTTTTACCTGCTCCTGTCCAGTGTTGTAAATCATGTTTGCCTGAGCAATTCAACTCAGAATAAAATATTACAAGACCTCCAGCCGCTCTACTGATTATGTGCTCTGGCTTTATAATCTGATGTTTAGATGACGTCTTGCTCGCTCATTCCTGTAAACCTGACCTTAAATTCACCCTGTTGAGCACCGATCATCTGTGGGGTGACGTTTACGCCCTACCATTAATTTAGCGAAAGAAAGAAATAATTTGTTTATTTATAGCTGTATTATTGTGCTGCTGTTGCAAATGAAATAAATTCACAAAGTTACTTCAAAATACTTGCTAGAAATAAAATTTGCATTGCACAGAAGGCAAAACACCACAAAAATATAATAGTTCAGAGAAAAAAATTCAGAATTGCAAGATATGAACTCAGAATTCAGACTTTTTTTTTTTTTGCAATTCTGGAAAAAAAAAGTCAGAATTGTGAGCTATAAAGTTAGATTTGTGCGATATAAACTTGCAATTTTGAGAAAAAACTTTCATAATATTTTATGAAAATTTCATAATATTTTGTTCCCGTCATGGAAATGTAATTGCGACTATGTAATAAGCTAAATGTAATTAGCTCACAAGTTAGACTTTTTTTCTTGCAATTCTGAGTTTACATCTTGCAGTTCTGACTTTTTGTCCTCATAATTCCGTAAAAAAAAATTCAATTCAAAAATTAAAGTAATTGTGACTTTTTACTTCACAATTCTGACACTTTTTCTTTTGGACAATTTGGACTTTTCTTCTCAGGATTAAGTTAACATCTCAACCCTGAGTTTATAGAAAAAAAACCTAGTCATTTTGAGATAGAAACTCAGAATTGTGAGAGGAAAAAAAAAGTCATTATTTAAAAATTAATTTTTTTTACAGTGGGAGGAAACAAGCTTCCATAGTTTTTAGCTTTAAAAAAAGACGTCTATATAAAGGTGATTCTGCTGGAACAGTTATAGGCATGCTTTGTATTTTATGTAATTGCATCAGGAGAGCAGCTGTTGTGTTGGGGTCAGAAGGACAGCAGGACGCGGTCTGTAACAGCAGATGAGTTGATGTTTAATGAGGGTGTTAAACAGCACTATCACAGATCGCTCAGGGGTCACAGGTGAGCGTGGAGGTCGCGGTGGTGTGACCTCAGAGCTGCTGTAATGTGGGTGTTTTATTGTTCAGTCATGTGGCATTACAGACATTAACACACACAGAAATAATTACAACGCTGAATTGCACAATTTGTCTCACTGCGCTGCACAGACACAGACTGCCAGCATGAAGATCTACAATGGAGGCGTTTCTCCAGTAAATGCCACACACAGGTAACACAACTAATAAACAGCAGTGTAGGATTGCGTATGTGAATATTGCTAAATGTGAATAATTTGAGCAAATCTGATTATATAATTAATGAGCTGTAAGATTTAATTGCAAGTACTGAATAGTAAATTTAGTCTTAGTCTTCAGCTTGATTCATTAATATATATATATATATATATATATACTGTATATGTATGTGTGTGCATATACACACTATAAATACAATCAGATCATAATTATATAATTAGATTTGCATTCCTTCTAATTTTTACAGTTGGCATGAAATTAAAATTCAACCTATTTTCAAAATGCATATTATAGGACCTTGTATTTTTTTGGACAATTCATCCATGTATATGTTTACTTATTTATTTATTTATTTTTTTGGAACATAATTTTTAATGAAAATGTCAAGAATCTCAACTTTAAACCCCCAGGATAAAATTAAATCTTGTGCTACATTTTTGTCCTTGTTGAAATATCACATTCCAATTTATAAATGACGAAGTTTGTGATTTTTTGCGCAACTGTTACCAAACTCAAGTTCTAAAATAATAGAGTTTCCAGAGAGGTTTCCAAACAGGTCCTGCAAATACACAGCCCAAAACAGCACAAAGAGCATGAATTAGGCAGGACTATCTGTCCTTGAACAATTGCACATGGAAACCTGTTTGAAAACAGTTATTTTTGCAATTCTGATTGCTGATGCTAGTGGCACAGAAATTACACACATTATCTCTAATGCTTAAATTTGAATCCACTTGCTTAGACTGTTATAGCATCCATGCAAAATAAATGTTAAATAATGTTTTTTAACAAACAAATGGCGCTGTGTTAGTTTATTTATATGCACTCAGACAGACACAAGGCTGTTCCTGTGTTAATATGTGAATAAAAACAGGCAGAAGGGGGAAAGTGGGTCAGACTCAGGAGGTGAAAGAGGGATGCTGGGAGAAGAGTGAAGGACGAAAAGAGAGAAGAGAAATATCCGGAAGGCATCGGAGGGAGAGAGAGACGCACACAGTCTTCAACCTTCACCCCTGCTAACATGACCTGATTGTCTCTCTCTCTCTCTCTCATAGACCTGCGCTCTCTCCTGTATTGTGGGTGAACAGAACACCCTGTGAAGGGTTTTAATTATCCAGGTCAATGTAGCATTCAAATACACATGGTTTTAAATGATTTTTAATATGTGATGTTAAACATTATATCATTATAATTAGATAAAGAAATTTGTAGAAATGTAGCATTGCATCAGTGTCTCAGCAATGGATGCTCTGCAGTGAATGGGTGCCGTCAGAATGAGAGTCCAAACAGCTGATAAAAACATCACAGTAATCCACAAGTACAAGTGCTTCCAGCTAAAACACAAGTCCATAATCCTTAACATGCTTCCTCCAGTGAAAAAGTCCATCTCCTGCTGTTTCTCACATCAAAATCCAGCCACACATTAGTTTGGAGCTGTTTTGAACTGCTTTCGCATGTAAACATTGTTTGATCTGTGCAGATTTCTCTCCTGATTCACAACTATTTCACTGGAGCAAACATTATGTATAGAGGTCAAACATGCAGCTTTTAGCTTCACAAGACATTAACTGATGGACTGGAGTGGTGTGGATTATTGTGATGTGTTTATCAGCTGTTTGGACTCTCTGCTTCAAAATTGCATGTTTAATTCAGTGTGTTACTTATTATTCTGCACGATAATTTAATGATCAATTCTTTCATTCTCATTCATGCCCTTGACAACAGCACGTGAGTGCAAAAATGTAGGTCACGAGATTCCTAAGGTGCTTTTGTCCATCTATGTATTGATTTTTTTTTTTCATTTAATGATTTTAAACAAAACGTCTCTGCATCACTCCAAAACATGCTGCTTTGATCAAGCTTTTCACAAAAACCTGTATCACGAAGCACCCCGAGTTATTTACAAATTTACCCAAATTCTGATTAATACATGCAGGTCTGTTTTGATTTTTAGAAATCAGGATATTAGAATAATGGTTAGTGCATGCCATACTACGTGGTTAGTGTAACCTAAAATCTCTTGCGTAATAACAGTGTTTAACATGGCCACTGTAATATAAAGTGTGAACAGCATTGCTCTCTCTCTCTTTCTCTCTCTCTCTCTCTCTCTCTCTCTCTCTCTCTCTCTCGAGGCTTTATGCTGTATGTTAACCGATTGGCTGTTTCTTGCGCCCTGTCGCCCTGTACGGTGGAATATTTCTCGTCTTTACGCGCATCTGGACGCGACTCTCCCCGCGTCAAACCCGCACGGACGGACGGATCATGAGGTCTCCGGGGGTCTGCATCGGTCTACGGAGCTGCTGGGTCACGGACGGGATTCGGTAATACGAACACCCCGCTTCATCTCACCCCACACCCACGCGGACAGAATCTGGGTTTTGCGCACTTGGTGATCCGGCGGTCCCTCCGAGCGCTGCTGCTGCATTCATTCGGGATTCCTTCGGGGCTGCCGCGCACGTCCCGGTTCCGCGATGGTTCTGTGTCACCTGCGCGTCTGATGAGTCCGCCCGCATCGGCAGCAGCATGTCCTCGCGGAAGATCTCCTCCGAATCCTTCAGCTCCATGGGCTCGGACTACCTGGAGAGCCCCGGGGAGGACGGAGAGTGCCCGTTCTCGCGCGTCTTCTGGAACGGCAGGAGCCCCGTGGAGACGCTCTCGTGTCCGTTCGAGGACGCGGCCGTCAGCAGGAGGGTCGCCCGGCGTAAACGCGTCAATCTGGACTCGCTCGGGGAGAGTTTGAGACGCCTCACTTCACCGACGGTACCGAGCCTTACCTTACATTCAACACTAACCCATCCACAACACACACAAGAGAGTAATGCACATGTGCTATATATATATATATGCACGTCTTCCTCACCATCTATCTATCTATCTATCTATCTATCTATCTATCTATCTATCTATCTATCTATCTATCTATCTATCTATCTATCTATCTATCTATCTATC